TCTTTTTAAATGGGTTGCTATCTTGTTCTTAGGACCCTTTCAAGATTTTATAATGGGATGTTAGTGCTATCGGTCTGTAGTTCTTTGCTGTTGCTTTACTGCCCCCTTTGTGGAGTGGGGATATGTCTGTTGTTTTTTAATAACTGTGGGACGACTCCCGTGTCCATGCTCCCTCTCCATAGGATGGTAAAAGCTCGTGATAGGGGCTTCTTGCAGTTCTTGATGAACACGGATTTTCCACGAGTCTGCACTGGGGCAGAGTGCATGGGCATGTCATTTATTCGCCTTTTCAAAGTCATTTGGCGTCAAACTACAGCATCGCTAATACATTTCATAAACAAACTTACCATAAGTAATGTTTTCCCAGTTTATTTCAAGAGCTTTATTTTCTTTGAGATAATTCGAAAATTTAGTTGACGAAAACCTGAGAAACATCAGTAGCACTGTTGGATAAATTGAAGCACCAGGTTAGGTAACGTTGGATTAGATGGGATAGGAAAAAATTCCGCTCATTTGCACTAAATAAAGTTTTTTTCTTTATAGAAATAACTTACTATTTGACGTGTTTAATCATTAATTAATTCCAAACTTACACGAGGGGTGTAATGGTAAATATTTACCAAGGATATTGTTGTGTTTATCAGGTGAGGTGGATGGGGCTGAGGAGGGAGGAATGGTTTGTTTATTTACACTGAAGAATCCCAGCACCTGAGAGAAACGTTTCGCTCTCAGTGTGGGAGTGACTTGTGTCCACTTTCATCCTAAGGTAATTTTATGAGAATGTCGTTCATATAATGTCACTGTTTTATGCAAAATTTAATAATTATTTAAAAATTCGTAGGTGAGCATGATGTTAAAATAAAGGTTTGATGTTTCCTCAATGTATACTGATATATTGTTATATTTTGTGATGGTGGAGTCAGTACGGCAGCATGGTTGGTGCTGGGTGGAGTGATGGTACTGTGGTTGTCTATGATGTTAGTTCTCTACATCTCCTCTTACCATCTACTCCTCTCCTGTCAACGGCAAGCATCTCCTTCCTGTTACTCGGGTAAGTGATGGCTTTAGGGAAAGACAACCTCATTCTCATTTTTGGAAATTATAGTTAATGAAGAATCAATGAAAGCAAACATCTCTGATCCAAGATTGATCCGGAGGGAAGGAGGAAGGGTTTAACTTTTCTTGGGATCTTCCACACCAACACCCTCAAAAGTCACACCAACGTTATTAACAACTTGCAAGGACCCTCATTAAGTTATGTTATCAGAGCATTCAGGATCTGTTGCAATTACATTATAGAAGTTATATCCCCGTAAGACCTCTCCTATATTGGGACACCTCCCTTGATTAGCCCCATGAGAATTGTCTTTAATATTTGCATGAATTCCAGGTGGAGTTATGGGTGGTAAACGCACTTACAAAGCGACATGTGGGATGGTTGATGTGAATGCATGTGGTTTTTGGCTACTACAGTGATCCGTGATGATTTGTTTTCTATTCTTATCGTAATGTTACCACACTATAGTGTGTTTTGATAAAACAGATCATTTTAGAAGTTTGGAAGTAAAAATTAATGCTCGTAGTCTGGTAAACATAACGTTTCTTAGGAACAACTAATAAGCGAGATCCATTCCTTATATAAACTAGGAGGAGAATAACGCCTGAAGACGCCAGAACCCTCAGAATGTGACATCATTCGTTATGTACTGCATATC